AAATGTCATCTGCTTATTTATAAGAAACATTCGGTTTGCTTTTTAAAACAGTTGACATACACATTACTTACATCTCGTCGTCTTTTTCATCTGAGTGACTGTTGACTAAATTAGATATGTCAAAATGTGCGCATTAAGCTAACAGAAATAAAGGATATTCTAATTAATACATAGAAAGCATCAGCTGTTTTTATTTGTTGATATTATTTAGAACATTATTTTGGTGAACATGATGTAGAAATTTAATTGTAAAAGGAAAAATTAAGGCTTTTAATCATGTTGAGGTAATTACCATAAAAAATTCATGTACATTGTACTTTATTGTATTCATTGGTTTAGTCTGAATTTGAAAGGAATGAAAAAAAGATCTTTATTTTCCACATGAGTTTTGTAATAAGAAAATATGACAAAAGGTGGGGGGAATGCATGGACTCTTCTTATCAGGTTATCTGACATGGATACTCCCACTTTTCTTCACTCCTGTGTTGAATTCAGCAAAACTGACATGAAAGAAGTGGGACTGATGGTGTTAATTTCAGATTTAATTGACCTCTTTACCCTGGATATGGAAGCTTAATTCAGTAGTGTTATTTCATCTGTCCCTAACACTGCCCCCTGGTGGGTAACCTTGTCCTTAGCAGTCTTGTATAGAGGGAGGATGTTTCTGATGTATTCTTTAGCTTGTCCCCCACTTAGTGCATCTAATTGAATGCAATATCATATTTCTTGTACCTCAGTCTAAATTGTGAAGTATGATAAAGGAAAAGTTATGGAATATAATCAAATCTAAAATATGAAAAGAAAAAAAAAATTGCCATATATGTGTCTTAGATTCTACAGCTAGGACCATTAGGACTTAAAACAGAAACAAATAAACTTGAAATTAATATTGTAGCATTAAAAAATAATTGAAAAATAACTAGGATTATGATTTAAAAAAGTGAAAATTCTACATTGAGCAAAAACAGATGTTTAGAATATAAAAATATACTATATAAAATTATATAGTATATATATATATATATATTTATACTATATAACCATGAGTGAATTCTAAGGTAATTTCAATGTACTAGCTGTTACAAAATTTATGCTAAGTTCATTTTTAGCAGCTTCATTAGGAATTTCAGACTTCTATTTACTTCCATCAAATCCACTTAACAAAACTTTATTGTAATTGATGTATAGTAATTACCGGTAAACAGTGTTTTAGTAATGGAATAATGCTTTAATTGTTGTATACTATTGTAATGTTTTAGTAATGATAATTATAACGCTTTGTGTAGGTGTCCTTTGAATTAGCCGAGTACACAGCTAATGTTGATGCCGTGGGAACGTTACGTTTGTTGGACGCCATCAGAACATGCGGACTAGCGGACCAGGTCAAATTCTACCAGGCATCCACCAGTGAAATGTTTGGAAAGGTTCAGGAAATCCCCCAAAAAGAGACCACGCCCTTCTATCCAAGGTCTCCGTATGGTAAGAAATCCATAGGAGAAAATTCCATTGCAAATTCCATTGTATGTACCATTAATGTCTAAATAGAGTATTGTTCTATTTGATATTGACTGGTGCATTAGAGGAACAAAATCTGTCATAATTGATCTAAATAAAGTTTATTTAGTTTGTATCTTCAAATTTTAAATATCTTACTTTCACTAATATGGAAATATATCTTAATATTTTATTACTTTGAAAATTGTGGATAATACAGTATTACTTTAAAACAACAGAAACTGAGAATGGATGCCTACCATAACAGTATACATAAAAATCTTGGGAACATTTTCTGAGTTGATTATTGGCCCATAATAAAAAAAAAATTGGTAGGATGTGAAGGAAATTTAACTTTTTGCTTGAGAAGTGTTGTTCAGTAAATATGAGTTAATGACTTTGATATATAATTGAATTACTCTATCGGTATTGTTTTGTGTTACAGTGTTGCTAAGCTTTATGCCTATTAGATTGTTAATATATTATTAAATTAATCTATCAGTATTGTTTTGTGTTACAGGTGTTGCCAAGCTTTATGCCTATTAGATTGTTAATATATAATTGAATTACTCTATCAGTATTATTTTGTGTTACAGGTGTTGCTAAGCTTTATGCCTATTGGATCGTTGTGAACTACAGAGAGGCTTATGATATGTTTGCCTGTAATGGAATCTTATTTAACCACGAAAGTCCCAGAAGAGGTGAGAGGTCATGAACATGTCCACAGGGTCAAATCTTAATAGAAATATTCACATCAGTAACGAAGTATATTTATAATAACTCAGTAAGAATTATAGCACTGTGAATATAAGCTGAGAATATTAAAATACTAGTAAAAGAGAAGTATGTGTGTGTTCCCAACACATTAAATCATCCTGCTAATTATTTACAGAGCAAATGTCATTAGTGTAGAAAAAATTCCATGTTTAAGAATTTAGAAAGGAAATTAAATTTGATCATTTGGGTCACTGAAGGATTTATATTGTTTAAAAAACAACCTGTCATGCTCAAATCTTAAATTTGAAAGAGCATTTGTGACAGGCCAATGTTTATCAACATTGTACTTGCTGCAGGCAGTGCACAAATTGACACTTACCCCATCCCCAAACAAATATCATCTGAGGTCACAGTCAGCAACCTACTCAGCCAGAAAAACCTTCCCATCAGCCCCAGGCATCTCCCACATCTGTCCCAGTATTACAAAATGTCAAGATGTTTTCTTAGTATTGGATTTTTGTTATGGTTTGTAACTTGATAACACTTGCACTCAGTGGGAGAAAATGAATTAAAAATGAAAACCCCGCCCTTAAACATGTCAAAATTTTGCTGAGACAGAGAGGTTTTATTCCTTTTTCAAACAAAGTGAGATTATCAAACTTTATTGAACTTATGTCTGCATGTCATGATTATAGACGGTGCGGTTTTTAGAAATGTTTTACAATAATATCTTAATTTATCTGGATATTTCTCATTAACTGTCTGATATAACACTAAGCAAACATCAATTCCAACTGGAGTAAATTATCCGGAGATTTATTGTAAAGATGATTGACAACCAGATCAGATTCCCCTGAATGTTTTCTTACATGGGGTCATGTTCAATCACTTCAAGAGTTACTTTGAATCTGACAATAACTAATTTATCCCACGTCAATCCTTACAGAAAAATAAAGTTGCATGAAGTGGAATTTGCATGATTGGAAAGGAAAGAATGGGCTGAATCTTCATCTCACTCTGACATTATCAAAACAAAGCATCCCCTGATCTTCAGAAGGGGGACTTTGTAAAATTGCAGTCAATTAGATGATGACAAGAGAATGATGTCTTACAGTCATTCTGGAAATGAGATTTAAGAATGTGTTTTATATCAAGAAGAAAACTCTAGGACAAAAATCATAGATATATATTGTAAAAAATGGTGCACTTATGATATATAAGAGAAAATTTAGCATATGAGTAGGACTACTGGAGGATCATGTGACATTTTGCTGATCATATTAAGTATTTAATTGAATTGTTGAACGAAAAAATGGAATTTTCAAAAAATACTTACAAACTGTGATGTAGGTATAGACTAAGCTGTAGGTAAAATATATAAGCTATAGGTATAATATAAGTGTAGGTATAATCTAAGCTTAGTATAGATATAAGTTGTAGGACTGGTATAGACTAAGTTGTAGATATTGACTAAGTCGTAGATATTGACTAAGCTGTAGGTATAATCTAAGATGTAGGTGTAATCTAAGATGTTGGTATAAGTTGCTTTTATAAGTACTATATTTTTCTGTAGGTGAGACTTTTGTGACGAGGAAGATTACACGAGCTGTTGCTAAAATTACATTAGGACAACAGGAGAATGTTCAGCTAGGAAACCTGGATGCTAAGAGAGATTGGGGACATGCCAAGGACTATGTAGAGGTAAAGACTACACGCAGAGCCATTATAAGACTGTGTAGAGGTAAATACTACACGCAGAGTCAATATAAGACTATGTAGAGGTATAGGCTACACACAGAACCAATATAAGACTGTGTAGAGGTATAGGCTACACACAGAACCAATATAAGACCGTGTAGAGGTAAATACTACACACAGAGTCAATATAAGACTTTGTAGAGGTAAATACTACACGCAGAGCCATTATAAGACTGTGTAGAGGTATAGGCTACACACAGAACCATTATAAGACTGTGTAGAGGTATAGGCTACACACAGAGCCATTATAAGACTATGTAGAGGTATAGGCTACACACAGAGCCATTATAAGACTGTGTAGAGGTATAGGCTACACACAGAGCCATTATAAGACTGTGTAGAGGTAAATACTACACACAGAGTCAATATAAGACTTTGTAGAGGTAAATACTACACGCAGAGCCATTATAAGACTGTGTAGAGGTAAATACTACACGCAGAGCCATTATAAGACTGTGTAGAGGTAAATACTACACGCAGAGTCAATATAAGACTATGTAGAGGTATAGGCTACACACAGAACCAATATAAGACTGTGTAGAGGTATAGGCTACACACAGAACCAATATAAGACCGTGTAGAGGTAAATACTACACACAGAGTCAATATAAGACTTTGTAGAGGTAAATACTACACGCAGAGCCATTATAAGACTGTGTAGAGGTATAGGCTACACACAGAGCCATTATAAGACTATGTAGAGGTAAATACTTCACACAGAGCCATTATAAGACTATGTAGAGGTATAGGCTACACGCAGAGTCATTATAAGACTGTGTAGAGGTAAATACTACACGCAGAGTCATTATAAGACTGTGTAGAGGTAAATACTACACGCAGAGCCATTATAAGACTGTGTAGAGGTATAGGCTACACACAGAGTCATTATAAGACTGTGTAGAGGTAAATACTACACGCAGAGCCATTATAAGACTGTGTAGAGGTATAGGCTACACACAGAACCAATATAAGACTATTTAGAGGTATAGGCTACACACAGAGCCATTATAAGACTGTGTAGAGGTATAGGCTACACACAGAACCAATATAAGACTATTTAGAGGTATAGGCTACACACAGAGCCATTATAAGACTGTGTAGAGGTATAGGCTACACACAGAGTCAATATAAGACTGTGTAGAGGTAAATACTACAGGCAGAGCCATTATAAGACTGTGTAGAGGTATAGGCTACACGCAGAGCCATTATAAGACTGTGTAGAGGTATAGGCTACACACAGAGCCATTATAAGACTGTGTAGAGGTATAGGCTACACACAGAACCATTATAAGACTGTGTAGAGGTAAATACTACACGCAGAGCCATTATAAGACTGTGTAGAGGTATAGGCTACACGCAGAACCAATATAAGACTATTTAGAGGTATAGGCTACACACAGAGCCATTATAAGACTGTGTAGAGGTATAGGCTACACGCAGAACCAATATAAGACTGTGTAGAGGTAAATACTACACGCAGAGCCATTATAAGACTGTGTAGAGGTATAGGCTACACGCAGAACCAATATAAGACTATTTAGAGGTATAGGCTACACACAGAACCAATATAAGACTATTTAGAGGTATAGGCTACACGCAGAACCAATATAAGACTGTGTAGAGGTATAGGCTACACACAGAACCAATATAAGACTATTTAGAGGTATAGGCTACACACAGAGCCATTATAAGACTGTGTAGAGGTATAGGCTACACACAGAACCAATATAAGACTATTTAGAGGTATAGGCTACACACAGAGTCAATATAAGACTGTGTAGAGGTAAATACTACACGCAGAGCCATTATAAGACTGTGTAGAGGTATAGGCTGCACGCAGAACCAATATAAGACTGTGTAGAGGTATAGGCTACACACAGAACCAATATAAGACTATTTAGAGGTATAGGCTACACACAGAACCAATATAAGACTATTTAGAGGTATAGGCTACACACAGAGCCATTATAAGACTGTGTAGAGGTATAGGCTACACACAGAACCAATATAAGACTATTTAGAGGTATAGGCTACACACAGAGTCAATATAAGACTGTGTAGAGGTAAATACTACACGCAGAGCCATTATAAGACTGTGTAGAGGTATAGGCTACACGCAGAACCAATATAAGACTGTGTAGAGGCATAGGCTACACACAGAACCAATATAAGACTATTTAGAGGTATAGGCTACACACAGAACCAATATAAGACTATTTAGAGGTATAGGCTACACACAGAGTCAATATAAGACTGTGTAGAGGTAAATACTACACGCAGAGCCATTATAAGACTGTGTAGAGGTATAGGCTACACGCAGAACCAATATAAGACTGTGTAGAGGTATAGGCTACACACAGAACCAATATAAGACTGTGTAGAGGTATAGGCTACACACAGAACCAATATAAGACTGTGTAGAGGTATAGGCTACACACAGAACCAATATAAGACTATTTAGAGGTATAGGCTACACACAGAGCCATTATAAGACTGTGTAGAGGTATAGGCTACACACAGAACCAATATAAGACTATTTAGAGGTATAGGCTACACACAGAGTCAATATAAGACTGTGTAGAGGTAAATACTACACGCAGAGCCATTATAAGACTGTGTAGAGGTATAGGCTACACGCAGAACCAATATAAGACTGTGTAGAGGTATAGGCTACACACAGAACCAATATAAGACTGTGTAGAGGTATAGGCTACACACAGAACCAATATAAGACTGTGTAGAGGTATAGGCTACACACAGAACCAATATAAGACTATTTAGAGGTATAGGCTACACACAGAGCCATTATAAGACTGTGTAGAGGTATAGGCTACACACAGAACCAATATAAGACTATTTAGAGGTATAGGCTACACACAGAGTCAATATAAGACTTTGTAGAGGTAAAGGCTACATGCAGAGCCAATATAAGATTATGTAGAGGTATAGGCTATACACAGAGCCATTATAAGACTATGTAGAGGTATAGGCTACACACAGAGTCAATATAAGACTTTTTAGAGGTATATAGGCTACACACAGAGTAAATATAAACTTTGTAGGGGTATAGGCTACACAGAGAGCCAATATAAGACTATATAGAGGTATAGGCTACACACAGAGCCAAAATATGTCATATAATTCCAACTCACATTTTAGATTAAAGCTAAACACCATTCCCTTTTTTAAATGTTGCAGTATACATGTGAAAGGAGACAAGATTGAAAAAAAATGGATATAAAATTAAAAAAAGTATGAAGAGGAGTGAATAGAGATTTTTGTATTACTGATTTAGTTTTCCACAAAATGATTTCTGAGTATAAGAGGATAAAGCTAAAGTTTCCTGTTTTTAGATTAAATTAAAATACAGAACATCACTGTGAAAGAACATTTAGTTTGCATCCCTCTCTTCAAGTGTTGTGAGAAATAACACAAGATTGTCTTCAGAAAATTAAACAAACAAAAATGGTTCCTAAAGCAAACTTTTGTCAGAAAAAAATCCCTGCAATAATATTTTTTCATCCTCAACTTTACAAAAAGTGAATGTCAATTTGGCTTTGTACATTGGCGAATTGACACTTTGAAGCAGCAGTTCAATTTTCATGAGTAAACACTGCAAACCTATAAAATGTGATTTGCAGAATCTCCAACTTTAAATGGGTTTCTGTGCTTTTAGATCTCTGAATCTTCTGGATTTCATCACTTGATAAATGGATTTAACATTCTAATGTTAGGATAATTTTAAATGAAGTGGATGTTCTTGAATATCTGAGTTCATTGTTACTGGAATACTACAGCATTTGTCCACGTCAGTGTTCTAAGTATAGGAACACTTGTTCAACTACGTAATGGACATATACTAAATCAAATTACAAATTGTTAACGTACAAAATTTCATTTAAATTCATCATTGATTTAGGCAGTGTTGTTTTTTTCTTTAAAATATTATTTTATTAAATTAAATGTTTATTATGATGGAAAAATAATGGAATGATATCAGATGAGATAAATATGGCACAAAATTTTAAAGATGAAAAATCTAAAGACAAAATTACAAAAATATACAATATACAATGATGCATGGTTACCACATGTAACTGGTATACATCCATGCATGTTTATAAATGATAAAAAGCTGTTTTCAGTCTTTTTCTTTAAAATAAAAATGTTAGAAACAAAAGATCATTGTTTCAAAACCAGGGGTTACAGAGTGATTGAAAATTTGAGTGTAAATAATTTCTGTTCACACAGGCAATGTGGAGAATGTTACAGCATGAGAAGCCAGAGGATTTTGTCATTTCTATGGGAGAAGCTCACAGTGTCAGGGAATTTGTGGAAAAGGCTTTTAAAGTTGTGAATGTGGATATAGTGTAAGTATTTTGAAAAGGTTAAGATGATTTGTTTGTGGATACAGTGTGGCTGTACAGTTTAAAAATGAAGAATTTGATGTTTGATGTTTGAAGAAGTTTGATGTGGAGATAGTGTTATATTGTGGACATCTTGTGTAAGTGATGTGGATAAAGAGAGTAGATTTGTGGAATGTGGATACAGTGAAAATGTGTAAAGAACAATAAAGTGGATCAGAGAAATTATGAATATAGATCAAGTATGGCATAATGGATGGAGTGAAAGTTTGGTACATGTATTATGTTTACAGTGTACAGGTTGCAGCATTAAAAATGAAAGGAGAGTCCTGATGAATGTGGAAGTACTGGGAAAATTGTCATTTTATCTTTATGAAATGATAATGAACACAGCAGATTGATTAAAAAGAATAGTTAGTAGAGAGAGCATATGCTCTGAATAGAAGGAAGTAACATTGTATGGATGCTAAATATATATGTATTTTTTTCCGGAGTGCAGATTTTTACAGTCTGTAAACACAAGCACTCATGTTTTTAAATTTTTTTTTTTTCCTTTTTGCATTTTTATTTTTACCAGGTTTGAAAATTAAAATATTTTACAATATTGAAAAAAGCAACAGCATTGCTGAAAAGTTTCAGTATTTTTGCATATGATTCATCACTTTTTCATCATATTTTGTAACTTTTCTTTGGAACATAAATTAGAGACCAGCAACATGCTTTTGTCTCCTATTAATGTAATTTTGGTTAACAGACCACAATCCAAAATGTTTGCATCTGGTCATTTAACATACATTGTAATACATGTACTAGTAATTAGGTGCTTCATGAAGAGATACGAGAAAATTTATGACCGAGTATGAAGGGACACCAGCACACAGTATGGAAATTGAAACTTTAAAGCATTATTTTTTGCAAGTGAATGTTTGTTTCAATTTTTTTTTAAATTTTATTTTGATTTGTTTTGTTGAAAAAATACTGCAAAATTTTGCAATAATAGCTATATCCACAGAAATAAAAACAGTTAAATATATCACATGTATAGTAAGATTGGGGGGATTGATTTTATTTTTTAAATGGGAGGAAGCTGTGATTATGAATATTATGAAAAAATGAAAATGCATGTATAAATGATTTAAATGAAAGTACATGTATTAATAATTCAAAAGTTTTATATAATGTTCACAATATTGTAAATTCATTCCTCCTCCCCCTCCCAAAAAAATAAATAACGGTCTTGTAAATGTAAGTCTCAATCAGAGGAGTCGATTCATACAATAAATGTCCCTAAATACATCATGATAAATGATATACAAAAAAGGAATCTGTTGTAAAACCACCTTATTTTATATATAGTACAAACAATAAAAATATACCTGAAGCAGAAAACTTTTCTTACTTAGAAATATATATAATAAGAACATGACAAACATCACGTACATATCAGGGAGATTATAAATCACAAAAAGGAAAATAATTTTTTTTTTCTTCTAATATTTGCCTTAAGTGAAATGGCTCATAATTTCGTTTGTTTAATTTATTGTCAGTGATTAACAGAATCTTGTACAGCCCCTAAGAATTTAAACATCTGTGGTATATTGGCATTATTCTTTTTGATGTTGAAGCTTTCAGAATGAGACAACTAGACAGTTTAATTTTTGTTGATGAAAAACTGCACTTGCAAACACTTGAACACTAAAATAATTTTTCACCATGAAACCTGGACAGAGAAACGCACTTTGCAGATTTATTTGTGTCAGTATTTTAATTCTTTTTTAAATATTTTTAAAGTGTTTAGTTGAGTTGTGACAAAATAAATGCACATGTCATACACCAAACTACAGGTGCCGTGTGTTTTTAACAGAATTGGGTTGAATTATGGAGTGTTTCATATCAAAGTATGGCAATATTTAAATGTGCAGGTAAAGGTAGCATATTAAACTTCACAGAACTTTAGACATATCAATAAATAAATTCATGGTAAAGTAAGGCAAAATAGAACATTGCTGCTCTCAGAAATTTTTATTAGTTTTTTAATGCTTGATGATGATTTTTCTATTTTCTTCTTTTTCTTTTTTACAGTATTATACTACAATATTTACATAATCTGCATGTGCTTGATGCTTAGATTGAATACAAATAAACTTAACCTTTTTTTCTGTAGATGGGAAGGAGAGGGGGTTAATGAAGTGGGCAAAGACAAAGCCACAGGCGTAGTGAGGGTGAAAGTCAACCCCAAGTTTTACCGTCCCACTGAAGTGGTAAGAGTTATCATTCCTTGTTCATTTTATAGTGGGGAAATTTTTTTGTAGGTCTTCTAAGCTACATCATTGATGTAGTCCTATCTAGAACTGAAATTACATTCTGTAATGTACTGAATGTTGTAAAAGTTATCCTCTAATAGCCTAAAACACAATATGAATTTGGTAATTGTCAAATGGTCATATGTCTGTCGGGACTGTAAGGGTGGTTATTCCCCTTTGCTTGCACAGCAGAATTTTGTATTTAACTGAATGTAACTTTTTTGTTTAGTGAATGTGTGATTTGTGTTTGTTGAAACATAAGTTGTTTTTTAATGAGAGTTTGGCATTTTTGACTAAGTACGCATCATATTTTACTTGCTATTTACACGTAAGTGTGATGGTAGATGTGTATGCAACAAATTAGAAAGTATAGTTAATGTGTCACTACAATACTGAAAACAGTAAATGACAAGGAGAGAAAAATGGAGCTCTATAAGCAAGTAAAAAAGGGAGATTTATGTAAAGATATAATTTTTTTGTGTTTAGATAATTTTTTTCTTGTGTTATTTACTTCCTTGGAGTTTAATAAAGCAACTAGTAACAAAAAAATAAAAAGATATTTATTTTAATGCAGAAGTTGCTTGCAGAAAAATAGTTGATAAGGTTTTAGAATGTGTAGTAACATTTCATTTTTGAATTGAATTGAACATATTTTATTGACAAAAAGTCAAAAGAATTAGACACAAGTTCAGAAACTTAGATAGTTATTTTTTCTCCTAATACAGAATTTAGTAAAAGATACATTTATATGGTTTATTTTTATCAATCAGTAGCATCAAAAATGGCAATTTAATGAAATTAAATTTTTAATATACAAAAAAAAAAAAAAAATACAATTTTTTTCTAAGAAAAAAAAAAGATTTTAAGAAATATCACATTTATTTAGAAAAGCTTGAATAACTTGGAAAGTTCAGCATTTTGTGTATCCGAGAAGAAATAATTTTTAGGTCACCTGAGTCACTCTGAGGGGTTCTGTTGTTAGGGCAGGGCTCTAGTCATTATAGAGTGAAAATTCATTATTTCTTTGGAAATCTTCATCTCTGCTATGAAATTCATAAATTGAAACAGAATCATATGTTAATATATATCTAAGTAAAAAAAAAAAATGCATGATTTGAGACTGTTTATGTAATTGTGAATCTGGCCTGAAATCAGCCTGTTCATTATTGTTTTATTGTAGAACTACTTAATTTATTTATTTATTTTCATCACAGACTGATGGTTTTATGACCCCTTTAAGCTATAAAAAGCCCCATTAAATTTCAGATTTCTTACCAAAAAATGCGACAGGCAAGAGCCATCATAAGCCACAGTTTGACACTGAAATCTTGTCACCACTGTTATTTGTAATAAATCATAAAAAATGATGCCTAAAAATTTCTTACACACAAAAACGTTTTTGACATTAAAAGTGGCTTAGTTAGGCCTGTAACTGATGAGTGGGGTTTAATGGCTAGATGATACAAATATCTGTTCTGTGTGTTAAGTGATGGTCTTTGACCCGTTTTTGTAGTGAGACCACTTGGTCTGCTCTTTGCTGGGTTTCAGACTAAATATCTATAAATAATACCTTTAATCTGTTTGCATTGTTTGTTAATAAGAGATTATTGTTATAATCAAGACAAGGAATAATTTCATAGTGTCTGACAATAATAATTCAGACTTATGACAGAATCACATATTTATTAAGGAATGTCAAAGAAATTATAGATATGATAACCAATGAAATATTTATATCCAGTAAAAGATATGAGTCTGTAGTTTTAATTGAGACCTGAAATGAAAATGGAAATGATTGCAATACTTGATTTGATATACTATTATAAATAAATTCAGATGTTTCAAAAATTTGAATACTACTTTATAACTTCCTTTGGATTTCAACTGTAATTTTAAAATTGCCAAAACTAAATATACAGTCAAACCTAATTATCTCAAACTCGATGGGACCAAGAAAAAACTTCCAGATATCCAAGGTTTCCAGATATCAAGGGTAAAATACTGAAAGAATAAGGGTTGGGACTTCCAAATCAGTCCAACATATTATGGTTTTCGAGATATCAGTGTTTGAGATAACCAAAGTTGAATTGCTGTTGAAATGTGTTTAATGCCTTTATGCATTTGGACTTAATTGAAATAGTGAAAGTGGTATGAAAGAATGTATAGCAGTGAGGATTGAGGGATACCTGTATTAATTTAATTAAGATAGGTCAAGTATTATGTGTGGTTCAGCTATTTCTAATTTCCAATATATAACTAAAATGGTCTACTTTTAGGAATTTCTACTGGGAGACTGTACCAAAGCAAAAACAGACTTGAAATGGCAGCCAAATTACTCCTTTGATGTGAGTAGATTTTGTAATCAAATATGAGAGTAAGAAGACCTATCTGAAATAGATTTGATTGGACAAAAAGATTTAAAATAAGGGTTGATGATGCCAAGTAGTGGCATAATTCTAGACCCAAATACAACTTTATGTGCACAATGAATATACCGGTACATTTTTTCTTTGTGAGTGGCACTGTAGCTCTCCAGTCTATCAATATATTTTTTTTTTTTTCGGAGAGCTACAGTACTGCATTTTGTCTTGCATAGATACGGATAACCTAGTAATGAAAATGTTTACAAATATGATACAAGACAAGTTGTTATCCTGTATTTTGTTTTCATAGGCACTGGTCAAAGAAATGGTAGAAGGTGATATTGCGCTAATGAAAACTAATCCTCTGGCATAATACAATCTCAAGGTTTGTACAGTATTGTATATAGTTTGTATATTGTTTCTGTTATAAATTTTAGAGAAACCAAAAACTTCTGTATTTTTCATTTTTGGAAATATATGCACTAAACTAAAAATGCAATTTCCGGAACTGTAATGGGTTACTTGCAAGCAACACTTTCCTTCAGTGCTCTTAGTTAATATTGTTACGGATGCTTGTGTTTTTGTTTCATACAGAATATATCCAGGTTTTTTTTTCTTTTTCAGGTTCTTTCCTTAGTCATACATTTTGTGGGTGGACATGTATTTATGTGGGATCAAATTTTGCTTTTATATTAATATTCATGAAATATCGAAATCTTTATTTATTGTCGATCAAACTATGTGAAATAAATTTCTAAGATGTATTACAAATATATTAATTGACGCTTTATATAATAAATTACTATAAATTATTTATCAAATAGCAGAGACTAATTCATTATTACTAGCTTTCTTCTGAAGTATGTACTCAGAGTGGTTTATAAACTTCATTAGAAGAGGTCATTTTTGGTAACACAGGTTTTACACATTTTTGTATGTACATGTATATATGGTATATCTGTACAATCAAGCATTTTCTTAGGGGTCATTATACACAAAAGCACTTGTATATATTTAATAGAGGGCCTACAGAGGTAATTTGTTTTACAGTAAAGCAATGTTAAGTTCAACATCTTTAGTCCCAGTCATGACTAGCCAATATTTATTATACAAGATTTAAAAAATAAAACTGATCAAATTCTCAACATTCTTGTAACCTGTTTAGATGTGATAAACTGATGTAATTAAAATTGTTGAAGAAGGTTGAATACCTTTCAATAGTTCTGGATTCTTTGGTATCGTACTTTTTTGGAATTTTTTATGTGAATTTTTCAATTTTTTTTTTAATTTCTGTGGAGGTCTGTTAATCAAAAATATGCATTCTGGTTTTTTGTTTTTTTTTAATTTGTTTATTGGTATTTAATTTTTAAAATTGTCACAAAATGATGAAATTTTGATAATTTTTTTTTTATTTTGTGATTCATACATGTATTTACAAATTTTATTTAGCCAGCACTTGGATGTCAATTTTCCTTCTAAACTAAATGACTGTAAAACACCTATTGTTAGTGACCAATGAAATGAATATGTGACAGTATTATGTGTATACATAGTATTTAATACAAAGAATGAATCTCAAGAATCAGTTATTATTTCTGTGGGTTATACTTTGTATGTCATTTGTATTTTAACTTTCCAGATAGTTATGCAATGTATCTGTATTGTGTTTTTGACACTATGTTTGAAATCCAGCCACAACATTTTTACTGTTATGTACATTTGTTTACTAGAACGATCTCTGAGCAGTAATGATAGGAAATGTCGTGTGTCTTTTCTGGTACATTCCATTGCCTCAGTAGAGATTTTGCTTTATTTATGTTTCTAATTTAATTGGATAGAAAAAAAAATGAGGTTGTGTGTATTGGTTCTAACTTAACAATCATAAACCAATTGTGTTCCTCAACGAATAAAAATCCTCACAGACATCCATGGACATAACCAGAGGAAATGTGAAATCCATGTCAATTATCACTTAATGGAAATAAAATGATTAATATCTGATTTTATGTCTTGATTTACATGTATTTTTAAATATACTCACAAATAGAGAGAACTATCTTTCTTACGAATGGGGGGGGGGGGGGGGGTGGATGGTAAAAATCTTGCCTTATGCACTCCACCCCCACACTCAAATAATTCAAAATACATGTATATTTTTGTTTCTTCTTTTAAGACAACATGTATCTAGTATCTAAAGTTGCATTTAAATCTTTAAAAAAGCGATATTTGGATAAAATATTTAATTTGTTGCAAATTTCAGATTTAGAATTTTAAAATGCCAACTTTCTCAAAATGGACCCTACAAAAAAAGGTTTCCCACCATTTACTTTCTGTGATCTTTTATAATTAATTTATGTTTACTTACAATATTAACTTAACTCTTTTCTCACCAATCAAATGATTCAACTCAACTTTTTTGTACAATGTAGCAAACACTCTTCAGGAAAGCAAAGAGGCCCTTAGCGGAAAGAGATTAATTTCTCCACATTCAAAAAGAATTCTTAAGATAAATAGGCAAATTTATTTCATTTTGAATTTTCTTTAGGGATAAACAAACTACAATTTTTAAAGACTAAAGCATGAATTTTGTATTTATTTAAAATGAAATAAAACAACGATTAAGTTAAAGTTTGGCCTATTTGGTGTCATTTTAAAGATGAAAGTACCGCAAGAAAAATAATGCTCTTGGTCAACTCTTGAGAGAAGGGATTATGAATTTGTTGTGTGTACAAATCCAGAACTTGAGCTTTTACTTCAACAGAGTGACCAAAAAAGAAAAATATGAAGGAGTTTCTGTTTTAAGGCGTTGTATCTGGCGTGGGAGCATTTTGTCATCACCTTTCTAAGAAGAACGTCACGAATATATAAGAAATTCACTTAAAATTCATTACATCTGTATTTATTTGGGTCTAAAATGAATGATAAGAAATGATTTTGTTACAATTCTTCTTTTATCACACAACTGGGAATAAGTTTCTCAAGGGGGTATGCTGTGTATAAATTGTATGTAAATAATGCAAATATCATGAAATAATTTCCTACAAACCCAAGACGAATTGGGAAAATGAAATACATAATTGAAGTAAAGTGGAACATGGAAAATAAAAGTACTTACATACTTTATTTATTAAAATATCAAGGTGGCTAAATCACGTATGTAGAATTAAGAAATAAAGTACTAATAAAAGTAAAGCAAATATTCTTAATTATCTCAAACTTTGATAAAGGGGAAAAATGTAATTTGGGGAGGGGGTGGGACATCGTACTCTGACGGACAGAACAATAATATTATCCTGGATTGAGCGAAACATTCAGGTGATTATATTTTTTATAAGTTTGGTATATTGATTATTAATGTACCTTTTTTCTCGGTCTTTATTAGGCATAGTTTTCTACGCGATGCCCATTTATGTATTTTATATAATTTAAATAAAATATCGTAAAACTTATGTATTCAGCTAACAAAGAATCTTTTAATAAGAAAATGGCATCTTCATGAATTTGACTATATCTTTGATTGTTCTCACAAAAGATCTTTCAGGCCAGCAGGAGGTTTATTTATTTATTTATTTATTTATTTATTGCTCCCTTATTGCGACAGCTTTCCGTTTGAAAGCAGTTTTTTTCGAAAAATAATCCCCTGGGCCACAACGATCACCTGATGAGTCCTTGTAATTCTCTTCCTGACAGATAAGTATGTATTAGGGATGTCAAAATATTTATTTTCCTTAGTCGATTATTCGATTGCATTATTCGAACGATAGTCGAATATTCGGAACATTTTCTGAAAATTTTTTTTTTCAAACTTCACTGCTACTTGACGTATTTATAACTCAAAAACCCTTTTACTTAAATATATTTAAAAAGTACCATCAAAAGTAATACAACGTAACGCGTGGATAGCATGATTATATGAAATAAATTTAGAAACCTAATTCTCCAAAATGTATGATTTCAGCAGAAATCAGTAATCGGTCTGTACAGTCATGCAGTCACTTTTTATTTTAGTAAGCATTAAAAAATTGACAGCCGATATTTTTTAAAGCTTATTTTGAAATAAATGGGGGGGGGGGGGTTAACCTCACACTTTTTACACGTCAGGTGCCTATGAAATTGTTAAACAGTTAGATACTGCTTATTCAATTATTCATTGCTCTGGTTATCAAAATGTCCTTAAACAGTTTAAAATGTAAGCGAGTTGTTTTAATAATAATTGTAATAATTATCGAAGTGTCAAAACATGTCACAGCTATGGTTTGTTCCTTGCATTTGAGCAATCTTAAGATAACAAAAGATAATTAGTACATGGTATACGTCCATTTAATATTCTTACAAACAAAGCCCAGTATATTAGTAATTTATTACAAAAACAGCACAGGCCGTTACTGGCAAATACTTCTCGCATTAGTGAAGCACTTATAAGTACATAACAGTATTTCTATACGTACAGGGAAAATCAACCGCTTTTTTGTTTAGAAAAATTATCTTATCGCCTGTCTCTGAGGAAAGACATTTTCTCAGTTTTGTGATGAGAATTCCATCTTGTTATTACTCATTTATTGCATTTATTGCTAGCGCTCGAGAGCGCTAGCAACTACGTTAGTCTATATTTCTGAAATACGCATGCTCGACTTCACGGGCATTCTGGGAAAACTACTATAGATAGACTGTACGATAACAATTTCGTTTTGTCATACAAAAATAGAAATGATCCGAATTTACACTGGCCTTTCCTGTCTGATATGCGCGATATACATTTCGTAGGTTAGAGACAGTCAATACCAGTCTAGATCCGGATTCTCATTTTTTTTTAAATTTATTGTCTAACCTATTCATAAAAGTACAAGAAAAAATTTGGCCATATAATGCCAAGATTCTAGACATCTAGCTTTCCTTACAGTTTTACCATCTTAGTGGATAATACCGGCAAGCTCGGAAAAAACAACAACAAAAACAAAAATCTTTTTCAGAGTATGTCGGAAAGACATGGCAATTTAGTGTTTATCATCTGAAAATACATATGATCTGAAGTTTCGTGTTCTGACAGTAAATTGAAATCACTGAATCATAGAGTTGCATTTGGTGATCGCAATAAATATATAGTAGTATGTATATATAATTATTGCGATCACCAAATGCAACTCTATGATTCAGTGATTTCAATTTACAGTACATAGAGGTTTAATGTCAACTTATAAAACTGTGGTCTTCTTGTTTTAGCGAATATCAATATAGTTGTGTATAAAACTTCTGGCTTGAAGGATATATTCTCTTGGTCCCCTTTTGCAGCTACTTGACATGGGAATCTTGTATATCAATACGACTTATTGCGATCCTGTTGTTCTTGAAAAGAATACTTTTAACATATTTTCCCTTTTTATTCCAATGTAAACTTTGACCCCTTTTGCAGCCACACGATAGTTCCTGTGTTTATGATTTAAACAGTACTCATTCTACACTCTATGGAAATACTTGCATATCAATACCTGCTGTTCTTGAGAAGATTTTTTTTCTCATATATTATTTTATAACACTTTGGTCCTCTGTTGTGTCCCGTTCCTAGTCCGTGAGGGTTTTGGGGGTATGATTGAATGAATCAACACAACATTTTTAAGTGTTTTTTCTCCAATACATTCCCATATAAAACTTTTATCCCTATTCTGACCTCATCCTAATTCCAGGAGCCCTGATTTGAACAAACCTGATTGTACGCTTCATGGGATAGTTTTTATTTTATACAAGCTTATCCTTTAAAAAGTTAGGTGAGCTAGCGCTGTAGCCATCATGAAACACAGAAGTAGATATCTTAACTATTGCTTCAAGCCCAATGGATATAACTGTGTTTTAAGCATTCTGTTGTTTACTGTAATTTCGATTTTGAGGTGAAAAATAAGAGATCAGTAGAACCAATGAGTACCTAGTTTAATATGTACTGTTAGACAATAAAACACGAAACTTAATTCAGATCACATGTATTTTCAGATGATAAAACGAAATTGACACAGTACAGTTTATCTATAGTTGTATTCCCAGAATACCCTACCGTGAAGTCGAGCACGCGTATTCCAGTCAAAAAAGATTAATGTTACTTTGAAGTCGAGCATGCGTGTTCCAGTAAAAAAGACTAACGTAGCAGTAACACCAACTGTGACCCTGTCTCTCTTGAGAGACGAACTATGAAGATTTTTCCTATATAGTACTTTATATAAAAACAATTACATTTGTCCCTCTTTTGTGGCCCCAACCTAGGCCTGATTTCATGATCTGAACAATTTTTATTATATATAACAGGAGTATGCTTGTATATTAATTGAATTAATTATGATCCTTCTATTCTCCATAAAAAAATTCTCCATATAAACTTTGAACCCTGTTTTGCAAACCCATCCTAGCCTCAAGGGTTAAGATTCAAGCTTGAAACTGCGCTATCTGGGAAGCTTTCAACATTTCTGGCCCATGGTTTTCGAGAAGATTTTCGTTTGAACAAACTTAAATTTCCTTTACCCATGGATACAAATTTGGTTAAAATTTGCTGCTTTGAAAATGTTTCAAGTTTACAGATGACACACGATAGACAGCCACAAGACGTACAGACAGACGGACACTAGACACATTTCAATCAAAATCGAAGACATAAAACTCGCAATTTCTGTGATAAAAGTAGACGAAGTACACACACTGACCATATGGAAAGAAATAACATCTACTGGAGTTAAATTCTCTAACATTACAGAGCAATTAGAATATCAAGTAAAATAATTGCTCTTTGTTTCAACAATCAAGTTATTTTTCGGCAAAAATTTCCATGTATTTAAACTATTTACAAATTCATTTACGAGGAAAAAGTATAATACACACGAACATTTGAATTAAAACAAAAGCCCTGTTAATTATTGCTTAATATCAATGGAGGAAATCAGTAAGAGGTAAACCCACGCTCTAGAAGGGAATGTTATAAGTTCGTAAAATGGAGCATGGTATAAGTGGCCCTCCTCTCCATC